TATTTTAGTATTTCAAACATCAACAAATACAGACGACAGTCTGGATGGCATTGTTTGAAATGATTTTGCCTAGAGACGATTGGGCCCATTTACAGACCATCAGGCCCATTTTCGGGACGATCAGGCCCACTTTATAATTAGGCCCAATTGTCGTGAATGAAAATGGGCCCAATAGTCTGTAATTCCTGAATCCTGTTTAGCATCGCTCTTAAGTTACTGTAGGTCCTAGTTACACTGTAAATTATATAAAACCAAATAAAATTTGTGCTAAAAATGACAGGAAAATAGGTGCTCAAAAGCCTAACTACTATCTGGATAATACTATAGATTGGTTGTATATTAAGATAGATGCCAGAGCCTAAGGTTCTGCAAAATTGTGCGGAAATCATCCTTTGTTTCCTTAAATGTGCTGATGGAATTCTAGGCCTAATTTTTGCATGGGAATATATTCCCTACGCAAGCCTTATTTTACAGTACTGTATAGGGCTTAGCTAACAACTATTTTTATTGAGTTCTTGAGTTCATAAAATATATTTATTCGAATAATTGCTCCAGGGCAAAAAGCTTTTGACGGAGGCATTCAATCGAGAGGGCATTTATTTTTTTGAAGTAAAATAGATATAGTACATACCCAAAACAATGGTCTTTAATTGCACTGTAAATGAGGAACTACAACACATCATTACCAATGCCATCAAAATGTGTTATTGTGTGATCATAAAGAATTTTTGATCCAACAAGGTTAAAATAAACCTAATTCTACTTCAGTAGAACATTCAAAATATAAGAAAGTGTTGAGAATAATGTTTCCTCCATTAGTTTTATTTACAGTCATTTAGGGATGCCTTTACTCAAGGGAGTGTTTATTTGAAGTGAAGCCCTGAATGGGGCGGTTATTCAAATAAACATGGTTTGGTAGTTCTGAGAACTTTAATAGATTGGGCCTTATTGATAGGCCAATTAATTATGATTGTAATTATTTAAAATGAAGGCTGTGTCATCGTCATCATCACCATCTGTAGTTAGTAGTTAGTATAAGTAGGTACAGTACTATAACAGTAGGCCTAGTTTGCAACATGAGATCATCAATTTGTCTAGACTAGACCTTGACATTTAGTGTAAAGCAATTATTCCATTCTTTCTTCAACAAAATTTGGTTTAAGTCAAAGATATTTGTGAGAGTAGACTAACAATACATAAGAATAACACTGTGAATTGTTTCCCTAAAGAGAAAGTGTTTTCAAACAATGATAATTAGGGGGGTTGCTTACATTAAGAGATTTAGGTTTTTATTTGAAATATAGTGCTATTTCCTGTCTCTGAACTGCCTGAAGTCAGCAAAAAATAAGTTGAGTTTGAATGAAAATTAAATTATATAGGCCTACATTTAAACACAAACTAATACTTAGGGCAGAGGTTTTTAAATGTGCTCCCCAAAAATAGGCCTATACCCAACAATTGTAATTACAATTCAGCATTTTTGGAATTAAAATAACCCAACAAAAATAATGCGCAATCAACATCAATTTAAAAAAAATAAACTAATTTTTAAAACTGATCCTATTTCTTGGAGCATTGTTGGCCATTAATTCCATGGAGTTCATTCATTCTTTGTAGCTTTGCAGTTTTCCAAATTGATTAAACCATTATCCGATTTTCCAAAAACATAGAGATTAATACAATTTGTTTGATAGAATATTTCTGAAACATACATGTAGTAGTAGCATCTTACAAATGTGATTAGATTTCCCATTTGAATATGACAAAAATTTAATACTGGAAAGTACAATGTGTCCAGCCTGGCTTTAAAGGCTGCAAAATTGGACACAACATGGATACCACATGTACAGTACAGTATTGTTGGTCGTCTTGTACAGTTGTGTGTCAGTAGTTACTGTATATTCTCACATTGGTTGATCTTTTAAAGGTAATTAGTATCAGGTGTAGAGGCCCGTAGCGTGAATTAAATTGTGGGAGGTTCCATTCAGTGGAAAGTTGACCCTTTGGCTTGTATGATAGATCCGATACTCTGGAGAACATTGTAAATATATCTGCGAATATCAATTTTTCATTTGTAAATGCAGACCTTCTCCAGTTCTTGGGTAGTTCGTCATAACCTCCTTAACCACCCCCCCCCCCCCCCCGCCCCCACGCTACAGGCCTGGATGTACTGTATAATACCTCTCTAAAGCTGGATATAGGAAAGTGCTGTTGACACAGAAAAACATAGTTTATCATTAAAAAAAATTTTAAAAAATAAAAATTGAATAAGCGATGTATTTAAGAACATTTAAATTTATGTTCATGGTATCTTAATATAAAGTCATTAGTCTTTCCTTCAGTTAGTAAGACACAGATTGAAAGGAATCATGCTGATTTACACTTTAATGGAAATCCTTGCACACTGCTAATGCTAACCAGTTGGTATAAAGATCATATTTTAATAAACATCAACTGAAATTGATGATTTATGGGTATTCCCCAGCTAACTTTCTATTGTACAGTGTACACTCTGTAGGCCAAACACATGGTTTAAGTTTTAATGTCAAATTTTATAAATTTGTGTATTATAGTGATTCCTACAGTATATGAGTGGTTTTTTTTGGCCATTTTTTATAGTCGTTAATGTCCAAGGCCTTTTTAAAAACACTTTCATGTCAATAGGGATATCCGTATGCAGTCAATTAAAAAGGAGCAAAAAGAAGGTGTGGTTAGTCCGATGCTTGTCAGACAGAGGTGTATCTAGGAAGGTGCGCAGGAGGCGCACGCCTCTCCAAAAATTACTCGCAACGCCCCCAAAATTCATGGTCAAGTTTTTAAAAAGCACCTAAAATCACCTTGTTTTGCTTGTTAGCACCTCCTCAACTGATCATTGAGCCCGCTCACTTCACCTTTGCTTCGCACCCCCATCAACACCCTCACTTCAAGACTCCTATATACGCTACAGTTTTCAGACTGCTTGTGTCCGTGGGCAAGACAATATCTAATTAATATTTGTCTTCCTTCATCTCTAAATGGGTATCTGGAAGGATGTAAAGGCTTGGAATGAAATTAATCTGGTGCTCAATTAGCCGCATGACTGAAAACTCTCCAGGGGATCAGAGAAAATTGCACATGGTGCATAATTGATTCTACATTTAATGACCAGGGAAACATGTTAAGTCTGTCTCTTATACACATCTAGATGTGTATAAGAGACAGCCTCAGGACTTTCTCAACTTTCTATATATTTCCTTGCATTAATTCAGCTATGCAATATACAGTAAGAATAGTTTCTAAGGACTATATTTTTTTTGTTGGTTATCAACCCTACAGTAGGCCTCTGCATCGTACTAATAGGCATTAAGACATCTGTATTCTTGATAAAACCTCTTTTAGTTGTTCATTTGTAGCCAGTATTTGATAAAAAGAAGTTGGCAACTACGTTAAAAAATCAATGGAAATACAGCTTAATAATTCACAGTACTAAAATTATTTGACACTAATCTGGCATTGCTTCCTTTCGACCATCTGTTTCAATTGCTCATGACAGCAGTGACAGCAGTGCGTTAGTCTAAAGTATCGGCCTTATGATATTTCCCAGATTTGTGTTTGGCCATGTATTTCAAAAAACGGGAGGGCTTACAGCTCCTCCACTCCCCATAACTCTCTCTTAGAAATATAATTGAGCTTCAACTTCCAATTCACTTAAAGGAGTCATTTAATTTCTTATTCTGTTCATCAGCTGCATCTTTTTTAATTGTACAAGATTTTAGGGCCAAAATTTATAAAATAAATAATAAAAAGTATAACAAAAAAAATGGCCACCATATGTTTTCTAGATTTGTATTTCAACTTTTCATTTTTTTATTACACCAAATTTATTAAAACTGATCTGTTTTCATTAGATGTTCTTTTGTAAGTGTGCATGTGTGAGATTTACAAATAAACTTTATTTCACCATAAGGAAACGGTATAATAGATAAATACAACTATTTCATCATTTAGTCCGCGCAAGGCGCCGACCCCAGAGCCTCAGTGTTGTTTTTATTCTTGTTACCAGAAGCGTCCAGCGTTGCCAGTTTTGAACGGATGTTGTACACATAAACTAGAGGGAATTTCCGACAAACGTTCATCGCCCTTTTTCAAGTTGGACCCTAGGGTTCCCTTACACCTACAATATACAAAACAGGGGCTTCAGCAAGGACTGTACATTACTGCCATTACCACTAATTAGGCACGTCACATGGATGGCGTGGTCGGTTAAGGATGTGCTCTAAATAACTTTTAAGTTAAAAGGTTGTGAGTTCAAATCACATCTTGGTATTCAATTTTTTTTTTTTCAATTATAAGAAATTGTATTTCTTTCAATTTTAAGATATTTTAATTTTGTACAAACGAACATTCAAAATATTGATTTTTTTTGTACAAATAAACATTCTAATTATTAAAAAATTTCTATCTTATTTAAGCTCTTTAAAAAAACCCTAATATAATAACTTGCGCCTATACCGTATTTAAGCGTTGTGGAACTCGTAAACTGGTGAGCAGTCGCTCGTGTTTAATTGAGGATGAACAATTTTAATTCTCAATGTATCCCAACCTTTTTTTAATGTTCAAGTTTTACTCAACTTCACAGACTAATTCTTGAATGTAGTTTTTAATGTCTAAGTGGGCGGTACTCTACAGTATTTCAGTTTAGCTATAAGGACCCCTACTTAACACATTGTTAAAATAGAGATAAACAAATTGCGTTAAAAGCAAGGAAGCAGAGAACGTTACAATGGTTTATTTATCGTAATATTTACAATATACAGTTTGCCACTCAGTGGTAATTGTTCATTGTCCAGCCATTTATTGTATATTTGTAGGACCGTTAAATTTGATTCAAGTAGTTTTGTCAGCTATTTATAAACCTATCAGTGTGACTGGCAACGGTAGAGTGACAAAAAAAAAATGCTTTGCCAGGAAGCGATCACTGTGACTCATTAGATTTAGGGGCTTGGGAGAAATTATGCAGAATACATCAGCAGCCGTGTGATTTTGCAGCATGAAGACTATGAAAAACTTTTGCCGGCCATTTTGGGAGTTGTAAAGTACTGTAGTACTCTGCAGCTCTGTTGCATGTTTCGCACATCATACAAGCACGTTGACTGTAAAAAGTTAGGTTTTTTATAAGGTTTATTGTCGTTAAAAGTTTGTCCAGCTTGCAGTGGAAAATGTTACTTGGTGATTGTGGTACGGATGCTTTGGGACTACCATTCCATTTGCCTGTGGTCGTTACTGTAGGTTGTTCTATATTTTGTCTTTGTACTATCTACTGTATGCAGTATTGTAAGTTAGGTTTAAGTCATTATGGATTATTCTATACAGTACAGAGCAAATGCACTCACAAACTTGTACATTAGGTCATTAACATTTACTGTATAGGCCTACTTTAAGTCATAAAATGAATCAATTAAAATTTACAGTATAGTAGTAGTAGAATACAGTACTATAAATGAAGAATTTTTTTTAAAGCAATTATTTCATATATTATTTTGAACTTTTTAAGTATACGGTGTACTGTACATTACTGTATATCAATGAAAGTAATTATATATCCAGGGAGGTTTCACGCAAGCATGATGCTTTGTAACATCCTGTCATAGACCACCAAACCTTGCAATTTAGTTTTGCAAATATACAGTGCTTGGATCAATTTCATCAAGCCATATAAAAACAAAAAAGTGTCAAATTACTTCATTACACTTAGACAACAACTTTTTTCCAGTCTATTGAAGTAATAATGTATGCTGTAATTAACCACGCAAATTGAGTGTCACAGACAAAACATTTTTACTTAATTCCTTTCTCGCCATTTTTATCTCGCTGATGTCACTCCCATGGTCTCCTGTTGCTATAGTACCCTTGTTTCTAATGCCTCTGAATTTCTGGACCTTTTGATCAATCTATCCATCTTCTCTTTCTCAGTCTTAATATCTAGTCTATTGTCTATCTGTTGTCTTTTCTTGTACTAGCTACCTTCATTCGAACTTCAGTCAGTGGGGTTCTAGGAGTCACAGGACTCCAGTTGTAGCATCTTAAACCCCTCGTCTTAGAAGAAGCCAGTCATTTTATCGGGAGTTCCATTTCTATTCTGAAAATTTGCTCCACTCATGGGGATCCTGGGGATCTGACCACTCATCAGGGAATTTCAAACCCATGTTGAGGACACCTTGGCAGATGGCCCTCTGGTGCCACTAACGCATAGAGGTTCCCATTAAGTAGCTTCCGTTTTAACATATGTTAAGTTGAGGTAGTTACAATAGTTAGTAGATAGTAAATAAGAAGCAAGCACATTTCTTGGATTAAATTCATATTTCTTAAATACAAAATTTTCCCAAATTGGATTGGATAAAATTCCATGCCTACCACATGGTTGGTACGTTTATTATGTGTTGGGAACTTATTAATATTTCTGGTGATTGATAGTTGAATGTATTTTTTTTTTCATTTAGCCACCGCTTGTACAAGCTGTGTTCTATGGGGATGCAGATGAGGTGAGAGCGCTGTTGTACAAAAAAGAAGATGTTAATACAGCTGTAAGTCATTAATGCAAAATTAACATTACAAGATAATCAGAGATTACAAAGCCTCTTCCTGTTGAAGGTGTCAAGTCGGTATTGAAACTGTCTGGCTGCAGTGACAGGGTTAGATGTGCAGCCGGAAAATATTTGAAACATTCTGAAATCTGCATCTTCTGATCAGCACCAAATTTAAGGAAAACTGAGATAGTGTAGCATTGTCAATGTGTGAAAATTTGACGTAAATCAGTCCATTAGTTTTTGAGTTATGCTCCCAGAAGGACAAACACAGATGCTCGCTATTGCAATACCCTTTCTCACTTCTCCTTTGGAGAGGCGAGGGTAAAAATTGGAAACAAATTTTGATGCTTGCATCTTAGCCTAATTTGTTGAATTGAGCCTAGTATAATTTTGATAAATATTTTAAATCTCTTTTTAATTACTGAGACTTGGACTAATTATGCAGAAAATTGTAATTGTTGTGATTTTTATTCTTAAAGGATGTTGAAAGGAGAACTCCATTACATGCAGCAGCATTTCGTGGTGAGGCTGAAATAGTGGACCTTCTTGCTCAGAGTGGTAAGTTATATAATAATTTTATAGTTTTTATAATGAAATATTTCAAAATTAAATGAATTTTAATTTTAACTCAAATCTTTAATGATTGTAGATACCTTGTTCAGTGACATTAAAGATATAAATCTGAATATATAAATGAATGATTACATGAATGAAGTGGATAAATAAATAAATAAATATGTTTGCGACAGCTTTAATAAACTAAAATATGATTATACTGTGTATATTTATGAGTTACTGTTTTGCTTTCAATTGAAAATGATTTTCTCAGCAATAACAAGATACATAATTAATACTCTTCATTATTCTATGCTATACTAGCAAGCCATTTAAAAAAAAAAGTTTTTATAGTAATGTTATGTACACTCTGTGTCCTACAGCAAAGGTACGACCATTACATTACATAATGTAAATCGGTGAACAATTGAATTTTTTCAATTGGTGTCAAATGCAAATTAATATCTTATTCTTATAAAATATTAATTCAGTTTTTTACATTGAATGCTTAAGAGGTTTTCCACACTTAGTAGCTTTAATATAAGTCAGGTAAACTTCTATCAAATCAATAAATATTGAATTAGAAATGACATAATACTTCCTTACTCCAAATGTGTCATTTCCTTTGACTGCAATATGTTCATGTGTTTAAAGTCATGTAGACGATTTATAGCTGACGACGTTGTTGTAATTTCTTATTTTGATATTAAACAGAATTACAGTTGAACGTGCACCTGTACAGCCTTGCTCTATATACCTGTGTTAAGCTCTCTATATATTATCAAATTTCTTTGACAAAAAATGTTGGATGCCCATATATAGTCATGATGTGCCTATATATGGTCATGATGTGATGTCATCATTACCATATTTAGGCATGTCACATGTTTTAGTAAAATAAAATTTCATAGTCTGTACAGAGCTTTAGAACAGAAAAGGATTTGTTTCAGTCATTCATGAATGTGTGTCAGTTTTTTTTAAGTTCAATTCCAATCTATCAATGAACTGTACAGGAAATATATTAATCACGGCTAATGTAACATAATTTCTACTTGTTGTTTAACTGGGGTAAGCAATTAGTGAAAATAATAATCACATTAATAAAAAAAATTAAAAAATTGAATAATTTATAAATAAAAACACCAGAAGGCATTTAATTAGAAAATGAAACGGACTGTCCTTAATCGTAATCGTGAGGCATACAGTAGATGTTTCGAGAATGCAATTCTCATCATCAGTGCGAAACCTATTAAATAGTTTTAGTCAAGTTTTATATGAGTTAGAGCACTTATATGTACAGTAAATTCCATAAGTACAATACAGTAGTAACAAATATTTTTATGATTATTTATAGTATTAACATAATTGAAAAAATTAAGGTTCTGTTATTTCATGTACAATATACAAGAAGTTTACCTCCCTGATTCATTCAAAATTGCTAACTCATATATGGTTTAGATTTCAGCAACATATGTTTAATAATACTAAAGTAATATAGTCTTTCATACCCTTATATCTAACAGTAAATTCAAGGATTTGTGTAGTAAAATGGATGTAAATCATTAAATACAGCTTTTTCCTTGATTTTTTACTTTATTAAATAATTTATAACTTACTGTCTCAATTCAATTTCTTTTATTGCTACGGTACGAATGTCATCATCAGGGGCCATTGTCTGCTTAAACAATCACAAGTTAACAATAGAAAATTTCCTTCTTCTAAAATAAACAATTTCAAGTGTCATTAATATTTTGAGGGGTTTTTAAAGAAACTCCTTGAATGTCAGTGTATCTTTATATGCCTTAACCTTTGTAAAATTCTCCAGATATCAAGAACTTGGCAAGAAAATTACTCGATTTCCACCTTTTTGTTTTAATTTCCATTTTGTTAATTTACAATATATTTACAGAGCTTTGTTAAAAAACAAATTTTAAATGAATGAGTAATCCTTTGATTAAATAGTTTAATATAATAATAATAATAATAATAATAAAACAAAACAATTATATAACTTACTAGAAATAAACAGATTATATAGCTGTTCAAATATTAAACTTTATTTTATAAGCTCAATGCAGCCTTTAAAGAGATGATTTAAAAGTGTTTATTTGTTCATGGTCAAGTATAGTACAGTTCAGTATCCAAGTACATATATCTTTGCTTGTGAACTTTAATTAACCTACCATACCAAAGGTGAGCTGCATCCACTTATGCAGAATGGAAACAATATCTGAAACCTATACGTGTAGAGCATGTCTAAAAATACATTGCTCAGGATTAACTGTCATTAGCAGCATAACCCTTGTACATTTTCATAGGAATTGTTAATTAATGTGACCATTTCGGTGCGAGGCTCGATACGATTCTCATATTGATTACCATAAGCACATTATATTATTATTATGGTGTGGATACTCTCATATTTGATACAAATTTTATTCTAATGCCCTCTTAAACTTTTTAAATTTGTTTATTCGTGATGTAATGAGGATGTTTATGAAATTAACTGATTCTTGACTGAGGCTACTAATAATAAGTACTATTTTGCCTAGGGGTCAGGCTGGGGTCAAATGCAAAGGTGCATTTAAGGTCTCCTCAGCAAATATGGTGCTGTACTGTAGGTATTTTGATGTCTAATGTAATAATAGCAGTCCAAATGGATGACATTTTTTCAGCCCTCTTTATTGTTTTTTTATTTTATATAGTGGACTGAGACTTTACAGGGTCCAAGTCTCAAGTGAGTGTCTGGGTCTGCCTAGGGGGCCCAGCGGGTTGGATGTCAGAGCTTCAGTTGCTCTCTGGGGAAAGTTACTACAGCCTTTCAAATACTGTATTTAGGCATTTTAAAATTAGTCACTATATTTTTTATTATAGTGGTACAGGCTGATGTATGTGAATTCCAGGCCCCACAGGAACCCCCCCCCCCCCGTCCCATTGTTCCCTCGATGGTACTGATAGTAATATAATAATAAATCATGTGCATGCTCATGACAGACCCATATTTTCTTCTATGTTACATCAAAGTACAGTATAATTACAGTACTTCAAAGAAGCTATAGCCTTCAATTTTGTTTGTTCATAGCATAACCTTGTTTGTATGTTTTGTCAATTGAGATATTGAGGCTATCTGCCTAGAGCAAGCAAATCAAATGTAAATAATAAGTCCCAATAGCAGAGGGTTGAGGTGCAATCCTATATCTCCCTGGGTATATCGATGCAAGTTGAAGAATCAACGTCTTTTCACCCCTTTACTGGTTACAAATGTATTTTATTGTACTTTATAAATTAAGCTGTTCTTTGTAGAAAAATGATCTTCATTCCCATTGAAAATCTGTAGTCATTACATTATATACTGTAAGATACTTGCTAATTCAATGATCAAATCTCTAGGCATTGAAAGGAATTCAAAATCATTGTGAAGTGAAGGCGTTGATATAAAATGCACATTATTATTTTAAAAGTTATTTATAGTATCATTATTGATTTCTACAGGTGCGAGAGTAAACACAAAAGATAGTCGATGGCTCACTCCTCTACACAGAGCTGTAGCTTCTAAGAGCTATGTAAGTCAGTTGGGTATTTTTATGTAATGTTACATTATACATTACTATTGAAAGGGACAATTCCTTAACTTTGCAAACAGGGGGGGTGGGGAATAACTTGTGATTTCTTTGCATATTTGAATTTTATGCTAACGAATCATGGGTAAATTTTCCTTACTAGTAAATTTGAAAGGTACTGTGTTTGGTCTGCAGGAATTCGTGCTTCAATCTGGTCATCCCATTCATAGACTGGAATGGAGAAAGCGTACCTGTTATTAGCCTGTTGGTTAAAACATAACCCCGGCTATATACAATTGATTATAAGTTTGAAAATTGTTAATCTTATTAATTTATATTTGTAAAAAGGATTACTACTTAATTTATATTTGTAACAAGATTAATAGGTCCAGATTTAGATTAATCTTTATATGTAATTTTATGTAATATATGGTTAAATTAAAAATTTTTACATCTGTGTTTCATTTTCCTTTCAACGAATTTTACAATATGGTTTTCAGGAATCTGTGAAGATGCTTTTAAAGCATTCGGCGGACGTGAACGCCAGAGATAAGAACTGGCAGACACCACTGCATGTGGCGGCAGCACACAACGCAGTAAACATTGCGGAACTTCTCATTCCAAACCTGTCGACAGTGAATGTAGCTGACAGAGCAGGACGCACTAGTCTTCATCATGCAGCATTCAATGGACATGTTGAGGTATAAACATTTTGTATTTCACCAGTACCCACTCATGTCACAACAATCAGTTCAACAAGTTTCTGGATTTTGAAATATGTTGTCTATTTCGTGATTGTCTAAATTGAAGACCTAGAAGTTTTTAAGGTGTTACTATGTGAGATTTGCTGTCCAAAGCCAGCCTAGAGTCGCTAATTAGCATAAGAATGTGGAGTGGATGTATTGTGTAGTTTAGTACAGAGAAGCTATAATACTTTCACTTGTAACATTGGCAATAGTAAGTGGATTCCGGTAAATGACCCATCATTTTAAAGCTTGCAACATGGAAAATAAGAATATATTAATAATTCAATTTACATTTTTGGTCACGGATGCTGGTTTTGGAATGGCAAGCCCCATATGTCTTCATCACAGCACATCAGTAGTTGAGTAATTTACCCTAAAATATTATACTGTAGAACTTAGAAAGCCTGCAAGTGAATGCATAAATATTAAGTGATTCTTTAAAGCAATCCTTAATATTTATCAACACAGAGCGGATGTGGGGGAAAGATAAATTAGTGTAATATTTCTTGATAATGCAGGTAATCAAGTATTAATAATGTAACATTATCACTAATCTAAATTAAAATTGAAATGTTCTATGAATGTTGGATTTTAATACATTCAAGAAAAAAAAAACTGAAGATGAACGGTTAATGAGATATAGATTTTTGAATACTTAGAAAGGAAGAGATGGTTACGCCGCCTCTTTTCCCCACTTCTTAAATATTCAAAAATCTTTATCTCAAACACTCTTTTTTTGTCTTAAAAAATAGTTTAACAACATATTAATTTTGTCCCCTTTGGAGCCTGGCTTTAAAGTAGTAACTGATGATGATTCAGTGATGTGTAAGGTAAAAAATTCCAAAAAGGGTCAGATTGGTGCATTATTAATGAGAACGACCAAGATTAAGAGCAGTGGCTCTCTAATGATGATGCATTAAGAATATCGACCTATACTCACTGTATCTCTTAAAAATGGCCTTTAGACTGTAAATCCTTTTTTATGAGCATATTTACTTCTTTCAGTTTTACTTGTAATAATAAGTGCTACATTATATTTATGTCCTCTTACAATTCAAAATCGCCATCAATACTTTTTTCAATAAAATTGTTTGAAAAATTTATTTTGATTTTGAATCCTCAATTATTACTCTTAATATTTTTGATGTGAATGAAAATCATATTGAAAAATACCTTTTTATTATTATTGATTTGTATGTGATACAAGGTAAGTTGCAAATTATAATAAAGTAGGCTAAAAATAATATTTATTTTTTTGCTTTATTGTAATCTGTAAGTAACTTATATTTTTTACCATCAATCTTTTCCATTTTTTATAGATAAATTTGTTATAAAAACATTTTTTATCAAAAATCCTTTTTAATTCTCCAAAATGTTTTTTAATTGTTTTTTTACAGGTTAACGGTTTAGAGAGAATTCATTTTGGTGTCAGACTCCATCCCATTATTCTCTCTTGACATGTCGCTATCCTGACTTTTTGTGCTTCATTATTTTGTCTTTTATCATTTTTTATATGAGGATGTGTCAAATATTATTTTGTAGGTGGATGTGTCAAATTTATAATAGTAAAAATTAAAAAAATAAATAACATTTATGTTTACAATTGTTGTCGTAGATGGTGAAGCTGCTAATAGATAAAGGAGCAACCGTGAATGCGCAAGATAAGAAGGAGCGTCGACCTGTCCACTGGGCTGCATTCATGGGTAAAAAAACCAATAAAATTATCTGTTATCTTAAATGTTCATAAACCAACAGATGCACTGATTATGTTTAAATAACATAGAACAAATGTTACTCCAAATAAAGAAAGGGAGGCCATGATTTGACGTTTCGACCTTTATTGGGTCATCTTCAGGAAGGTGACCCAATAAAGGTCGAAACAATGACAACAGAAAAAACTATAATAACAATTAAAATTATCAATTAATTAGGATATTTCCGATGGCACAACAATTTTATTATTTATTTTATAGAATTGATTTAAATATTTGAATTCTTCTCAGGGCATGTTGAGGTGATAAAAGTTTTATTTGACTTTGATGCGGAGATATTATGTCGGGATAAGAACTTCTACACACCTTTACATGCCGCAGCAGCTAGCGGACAAGTCAGTGTGGTGCAACTGTTACTAAGTCTCGGGGCAAAGGTAAGATGGGACGTGTGCATGTCTTTGGGTAGACGCTCATCTTATTGGTTAACATACATGCAAATTAGGTATAGAATCAGTAATTAGTTGCCAACATTTATTCATTTAAGTTATATCCATAGAGTACTACAGTGTTATCTTATGATACCATGTGATACTATTCCGTTGCTATCGTTGCAAAATGTGTATGACGTGACATCATTATGCCTATATGTTGGTAAATTTGTCACAGATAACTTAATAGTGTGACCAGAAGATAAGAATGGTTATAGCTTGTAAAATAGGCATATCCTTGTTTACCAGGTTTTTTAATGCTATATTAATAATAGATATAATTTGATCAGTGGTGTATTTAGGAGCTGATGGGGGGGGTGCACAAAGGTGGAGTGGGTGGGCTTGATGATTAAGTGAGGGGGTGCTAGGTTCAAATTAAGGTGATATAAAGTATTTTTTAACTACTTGAGTGCGATTTGTTTGCTTCGGCCTTTTTCAATGGGGGAGATCGGGGGAGAAAGCTTTTTTTAGGGGAGGGAGGTTGTGTTCCCCAGCGCACCCATAAATGTGCCACTGCATTTGAAGGGGTTTAACAACAATTTAGACGCAGTAACTTTCATTCTGATATTTGGTGTTGCTTCAGTCTCTTGCATCTGCATATCTGTTCTTGAATTTTATTATCTCTTTACTTTATATTATTACAATTTTTGTACTTGTCAAACAAACCAAAAAGTTGAATAAATAGATAAATGATTATCATTGTTTATTTATTTATCACATAAAAATTTATGGCAAAATTACCAGTTAACATTAAGAAATCAGATAAAATGTAAACTCAAAATTTGTTAATAAACTAATTTTTTAAAGAAATGGCTACTAAGCCTAAAAAGTATTAATGCTGGCATGCTCTTTTTAAAAGAAATTTTTTTTAATTCACTGATTGTTTACTACTCTATCGATATATTAATAATTAAAATGAGTTCATATTTTTATGAGGTTATATTTTTATATCACATATTTTTGTCATTTTTAGGAAATATTTTATTTATTTTAATCACATGATTAACTTTAATGATATATTGATATGATATCAGTAAAAAAAATTAATTAATCCTCACTGGCGAATATAAAAAGAGAGTTATTAAACGTAAATTTCAGAGTCTATTATTTTTTTAGTCATATATATATGATAGCTATCTACTTAGCTACTGAGCAGATGTTATGGTTTGAAAAACAACCACTCAATTAGATGCAAGCACCACTTCAGAAAGTGTTTATATTTTTATTTTCTACATTTGCAACTTAACCATAAAAGTGTTCAATTATTTGAGAGTTGATAAAAAAATATGAATATCTTATCGTAGACTTTCAGGATGTCCATGGGCACACCCATACCTTATCTTAGTTCCTGTGTGTTTGGAATTGGTCCAGGAGTATTATCTTAATGTGCATGTCTAGTAATTCAATGGCATGGCTTCCAAGTTGGATCAATGCTTTTTATGCAAATATTAAATATTCTATTCATAAGTAGGGGGAAGAAAATCCACAACTGACACTTGAAACCTGCTGCAAAGGGTTTGTATTAGGGCATTTTTTGCCAAAGCAAAATGTTTTAGAATCAAAACTTTCAGAGGGGTGATGGCTGACTGCTTTTATTCATTTATTTATTATACAGGTTGTTTGTTTTCTTTCTTGTTTTTTTCAATATGCCAATTATTATTTTTTGTTTAAATATGTATATATTTTTAAATATTTATGTTTGCACAAATAATAATTTTCCATCTTGAAATGTCAAAGTACTGTAGCTGCATATCTTGTAAATATGGCCAGAAACAAACTCGGGAGAGTAACTTGTGTAATTGGAAAAAATTTATGAAAAAAAATTAGGGAGGATTAACAGTGGCAGATATACAGTGGGGCCCCAACAAAATGTACATGCACCCTCCTTCCCTCTGTTGAAAATGTTTGAAGCAAAAAAATTATGCTCAAGTAGTTAAAAATCACCTCAAATCACCTTATTTTGCGAACTATTGGCCCTTGAATAATCAGCAGACCATCCACTTCACCTTCACCCCATCTTCCCCCCCCCAATTTCAAGATATGCAACTGAGGATCAGTAACTGCAATTAAAAAAAAAGAAAATTGTTTTAAACAAATTATTAAAAAAAATAAAAATAAAAGTGCAAACTCAACATCATATTGACTTAAAACACACCATAATTTCCATGCCAACATGTCCATAAAATTACCCTCAAAATATCAACAATAAATATTCATGTTTAAGTCATCACAACAGGTGTCACCTTTCAATTAGGCAAATATTTTGGGGGTAAAATTATTTTGGCAGATTTTTGCAGACTTCAACTTTTATATGATCTGCTAACTGTCAGCAAATCATAAGCTGTAAAAAGAAATATTTGATATTAGCTAGCCAACATAAACATATAATATTGTTACTGATATAGACAACTATAATGCAATTTCTGGCTAGCTTGGCTATAGACACTGTAACAGTGTTCAGATTTACTGATGCATTAACATGTTTTTTACAATGTATACAAAGTTTTAATAGACTATGAGCAGGCTGCCGGGCAGGGAATTCTTTTCAGACCGAAATTTAATTTAAGTGTGTAGAAGTGCAGTGCATATACATATGTAGCTGACCCAGGGACTTCTGCACATATGACCTGCTACAGATTCAAACCACTACTTTTTTTATTTAAAGCCCAGAGATTGCAAGTGTCACATGTGTAAACACAAACGCACTGTGTACCCATGGAAATCTGTTTTTGTAGGGCATAAAATGGTCATAAAAGTGATGGCAATGAATATTCTAAACTAACAGAAAGCACTCATTTGGAGCACTATTGTTAATAATTTCATATTTTAATTGTGAAATCTTTAAATCAATAACATTTAACAAACTCTTTTAAAACCCTTGTGTTGTAAGACCATGTACTAGCTATTGACCTTTCTCTCTAGTGAGATGACGCTAAAAGTTTGTTTTATGGTAATTCATAAATCTAGGAATACAAAAAGCCTTATATTTCTATTTAACTGTTTAATTTGCCATATTATAATGTACATTAACTTCACTAATTATATTTAATTAATTAAAAGTTGTGTTTGCAGAATTAAATTTTTTTGTTAATTCAACGAAGAAATTACCAATTACAACATTTATACCTACAGTACAAAATAGTAAAAAAAAAACCCACAAAAACTTCTTGACTATTTATATTTATTAACAATAAATGTAAAAATGCATATGTTGCTAAAAAAACAAACTACTGTACTACTCTGTGTGACAACAAAATATATCTGACTTATATAATGATTGCAGCATTGTGGAACAGACACAAGTCTTATCTTAGACACAAATCCTGTTGAAAATATTGAAAATAACAAAATCCTTAGTTGTGATTTGTAGAAAATGTGGTACAGTTGCTTGCATTGTAATCCAATATTCTTGAGTGTGGATCATGTGAAGTTTTGTGAATTTTATGTAAATAAGTGATAATAATAATAATAATAATAATAGTGTAGTTTTATATAGCGTCAAATCCATCTAACATAAGATGCTCATCTTCCTTTTAGAAGCCTTAAAAAAGAGTTATCGCTATAGTTCCATAATGCATTTACTGAGTGTTGGATCAAAATGATATGTTTTTCTGTTAATTGTTAGCATATACTAGATCACATGATAACACACAATGATCACATGATGATAACATTGTGATGACATAATGATCATATGATGTACTTACTGGAGATTCTCTTATTTATTTTTCAATGTTAATTTGCTTTTTTAGACAATTTTTAACAACATGTAACTTTTTTTATTTGTAGCCTAACATTTAGACATCATATTTTTTGTATGCTTTCTAATTCATTCACTCTCCAAATTTAGGTTGATACCACTAATATCCATGGCAACACACCGATGCATATTGCATGCCTAAATGGCAACAACTTGGTGGTCCATGAGCTGCTTTGCTGCAATGCTTCCATTACGGCAACCAATCACAAAGGCCAAGTGAGGACCATTATTTTTCACCATCTATTTTCACTGTTATGTTTTCTGTTTCTTAATATCATTTACAATGTAGTTAGAGGGTATAGAACTGATTGATAATTATAGAAACTCATGCATATTGATATTATTAGTTGTAGAGGTGCTTGTCTTTCAAACCTAAAATTCTAGATTCAATCATTGTGAAAAGTATCTGGATTTTTCTCCCAAGAGAAAAAAAAAGCTTCCTTCCACAAGCCTCATGAAGTTATGGAGCATCAAAATTTTAAATTTAATTTTTATAGTGAACAATAAATTGACAGTTCACTTGTGAATATTAGGAAGTAAAACTACATTCATCCAGATACCTGTTAAAAAAGCAAACATCCATTACCATCATTATCTTCACATGGATACATGCAACTGACCCTATGAACTTGTTTTTAACGAGTATTAATATTAACTACATCCCCCTATTTTTTTTCCCTCCCTTTCTTTGCTCTGTCGAATAGACCCCCTTGCATCTAGCTGCTGCGTCTCCCCACGGAGCTATGTGCCTCGAGCTTCTTGTTAGCAAGGGTGCTGTCACCACGGTGCAGTGCAAAGATGGCCGTACACCGCTACACATGACCGCTTTGCAGGGCCGGTACACACGTTCCCAGACGCTGATACAACATGGTAAGTTGGCAGAGTGTGTTTCTTTGCAAATTCATCAAATATCCTCCTACACAGCCTGGGAATAGTTTCATCGCTTTGAGTCACACATTTCAATGTCATATGGTTTTATGCTGTAGCTGTGGCAATTGATAATGTACTTAAGTAGTGTCAACCTTGAAATTAAAACATAAAGAAGAACTATTTTCAAGTCAGTGATGTGAAAAAATGCTGTTTCTTTACAAAAGAAGAATTCAATTAATACTCACTAGTAATAAATTTGACAAAATTCTTCAAAATTTTACTTAAACTTACCAATGTTTAGAACACTAAAATATTTTTATAAACTACATTCCATTGTAATTTCTTGTATTTTAAATTCTTTGGTTTTTTTTCAACTAAGTTTCTGCCTTTAGCTAAATTGATAGAACAAGCAAGTGTTAATGAGGTACTTGGCATAGACAATCAGGAAATGTACCCACCCTAGTGGTTTTGTGATTCCTTACTATTGTTTCCGAAACACAGCTCCATCATACCTCCACGACCTCACTTAATAAACAGAGAAAACACCAACTAAAAATGTCCATGATTTTCAAAATATCACTGTGGTGCAATATAATAGTCCAATCTCCTATTTCTCAAAAGGCTATGTATGGGAACCTGTAATTTACACTTGTGTAATAAATAGCGCTATACAAAATATCAGCACATTAAACTCTATTTCCATCAAAATAATTTATGTGAGAAGTTTTTGTGAATTGCCCATATTTGTGCTGATGATTTCATATTACATCCATATATGGGCATGAGGATTCTCATGTTATGCTGATACTTTAGCAAATTTTTTGTATCTGTGACACACAGTTTGATAGTGTGGATATCGCTTTACAGTATAGATTATTGTTTAAGATGTTTTCATCTTTCTGATTCAAAGCCATTCAGCAGCTGATAGACCATGGTGAGTAGAGTTAAGAAAACATTTGATGAACCCCCAGCAAACTATTCCATCCATTGCAGCATTTTGTTATGTTTCAATGCTTCATTCACTACCATCAAAGCTTCATTTTCTTTCAAAGCATTATAATAAATATATTTATTATTATTAATAAAACTGTTTAGCTTTCAATTCCTATTATTAATTCTTATATTTGCTGCATTTGGTTTGGATTTTCATTGATAATGCTTGTAACAATATTTATATTTTTCGATTTATTGGTCAACAGTATATATTTATAATAGCATTTATTACTATCATATTTTTATATTGTATATAAAACAATAAGAAAATCTGACCAGTAATAACTTATTAAAATTAAACAAATGTGTCTTAATGGGTAATCAGAAGGGTCCAGATCTGTCTCTTATACACATCTAGATGTGTATAAGACCTTAATAATTAATATAAAAAAACACCGCAACTAATATATTGTTAACAGATTCAAATACTATAGTCCATTTATTTAAGAAAATTATTGACTTATATGATGATATATTTATAGTGTACTGCAACATAATATGCAATTATATAACTTCAACTTATTTATAATTTGTATTTTCTAAAATTTTTGTGTTATTAGTATTGTTGCTCCAAAGTACAGAACTTATATAATATAGGTGCTGGGTTTTATAATTAGTAACATGATTTTTACTTTTACCTTTATATTTTAAAATCAATCAATAATCACTTTATTCTATATCTGACACTCAATATGCCTTTGTTTTTATTATTATTCATTTTTGTTGTAGTTTGTATATAGATTATTCATGTTTATATGATATTTCTCTTGACATATTCTCCTTTATGCCCAGGTAGATAATTTTGCATAGGGTGGCCTGATACCCATGTTTACTTTATATAAGGGATGGGGTTATTCCTAGGGCAGGGTTCTCACCACGCTGGTCGGCAGTGATCGGGCCCCTCCAGTACTCAACATTTCCGACCAGTATTTTTAGGCTGCCGACCACCACTATTCTTGAAATTGATAGTGGGGAAAAAACGTAGGCTAATAAAATACATTCGTTACAACTACTAGAGTAGGGAGTTGTTAATTAAACAACTCATTGGCTAGACAATAGACATGCTTGCTACATTAGATAAGACAAAAGATATCAGTTAACGTGGTTGCCGACCACCACTGTAAAATTCTGGTGAGAACCCTGCTAGGGGTAGCTTATACCCAGTGGAGGCTTATAACTGGGATCAGCCTTGGCATGCTTTGCATACTGTAAAGTGGGGTTATACTTGAGGTGGGCTTTACATGTAGTAGGCTAATATCCAGGGGAACTATGGAAATGAACTAGAGATTTGTCCTTGTGAAACTGAAAAACAAATCATTTAAATTATGCATGCATGACACGAAAATCTCAATCATGTTAGAAATTAAGTTCTACACTACTATATTTATATCCATATATTTCATCCATAAAGTTCAAAGAATTGTTTTTGTTGTTAGATTGTTACTACTACTCATTTTCACTGTATGTTCATTGTTATACTTCTTATCCCTGGCTGGTATTATCCTTCCATTTTTTTATTATTTCAATGAGTTTGTTCTGTTTTTGTAATAGTGGAATTACCCACTTTCATTTTATGAGCCAGCATTAAATGTGGCAAAGACAAGCCAAACCAGTCACTGCTTTGCAGAAAATTGATTTTTATTTCTTAATACAGAATTAAGCAGTAAAATTCAAGTTATGAAATAGTTACAGAAACATTTAAATCCGACATTTCGTTGTGAAATTATATTAGTTTAAACATACAGTATTTGAGAAGTCGGCCTTCAATTTTATGAATTTGTCAATTTCTCATTCAGAGACCATCACAAAATTGGTAAAAATTGTTGTTTTAAAATCAAAAATATGGAAAATACTAAAATAGCATGATGTATATATATATATATATAAAATTTAGTATAAATTGACTTTCCAACATGTTTTGGCAGTTATTTCACAAACATGATTTGCAAGGAGTAACTTGGTTGCAGGCTTCACTTCGTCACAGATGTTCTGTGGGCATAAACATTCGTGGACATACATATTCAAATGTATGATAAGATAAGAAAAACTTTATTATCCATGACAGAAATTCAATGAAGGAAATAATGTTAACTAAATTAAATTTTTGAATGAGGGTTTAGAGTAGATGACTAACTTAAAACAAGGCTCAGGAGGAAACAATCTAGGGGCATGACCACTCTTTTCCCACCTTTTCCCCCCAGTTTTTATATATTCAAAGTCTGTATCTATTCTTATTAACTGTTCCCTACTTTTTTGTCAAACACTCTTTTTGTGTCTTAAAAAAATATCAGGTGTACAACATATCAAAAAATGTTTTTCCTCCAGAGCCTGACTTTTAGGCGTCTTAGATTAATTTGATCACATTTTTGGGTTATAACAGCTAAATGCTTGTAGGGTCAGTTGTCATAAATATAAATAAATTTTCCTGAATTTTTTACACAAGGAAAACACACTTGCCTGGTTCTCACGAGAGCCCTAGTATCCGGATCAGGAGCTAACCGTTAGCGCTAACCATTAGCACGTGTGTGAGAACGCCCAATCGGTTAGCTCTAACCGTTAGCAGTATCCAGATACCGCTAACGGCTAGTTGAGCGCATTTCTATCATCAACCAATCACACATACGCGTTTACAATTTCCAGTTTGTTATTGGCCAGTGATTCGATCATCATATTCTTGGTATCCGGATCGGGATCTTCTCGTATGGACGCACGGCAGCTAACGTTTATCAGGATCTGGATCCCGCTAACTGTTAGCTGCCATGTAAGAACATAGCCATAGTCTTTCGGGTATGCAAATAGCAAAAATGCACTTGGTTGCTATTGGCCTGTGAGTCCATATGCACTAAGTAAAGTACATACAGGTAATGCTACTCCATTACCAAACACTTAAGTTCACTCCAGATTATCAAATTTTCTTTGACGAATACTGTTGTATGCCCATATATAGTGATGATGTGTCTATATATGGTAATGAGGTGAAGTCATCATGACCATATTTAGGCATGTCACTTCTTTTTGTCTGATATAATTTGATGGTGTGGACAGGACTTTACAAGAGAGTGAAGAAGTCACTTGAGAAACAGATGAGGCTGTTAGCAAGCTTTTTAACACATTGTATTTTGCTACACATGATCATACTCCAGCTGATGTGAGGGAGACGGTAATACAGTAATAAGAACATGGAAACATTCTAAATTTGCTGAATAATGAGTTTTTACTTTGCCAGTGGCTGGAGTGCGGAATACCGTTCCTATTTCTGGGAAACTTCTGCATTGACATGGAAAAGTGATTGTTGAAAGTTTCATAAATTTATCCAGATTTATTACAATTTATTCTAAGAGCAAGAGTTTGGTCAAATTCCAGTGATGGAGGTTATAGGTCCTTGTGCTTGTGTGCAAGATTAAGTGTACATTGAGTTGTTAGAATAATCCATTATTTTACAGGGGCCATTGTAGATTGTCCTGACCAGCGTGGAAGTACAGCTCTACACCTGGCTGCGCAGTATGGTCATGAACAGCTTCTAGTTACCCTACTAGCAAATGGAGCAAACCCAACAAGGTATGATACATGTATTTTGTATGAAATGAAATATAATATATCTCATTTTCAATTTAATCCATAAATTATCCATCAGTCAAAGAATTCTTGTTCTAATTTTCAATTATTAGCTAATAAATTGATTAAATATAAAGCAATCAATTTAAGACAAAATATTTGAACACTTTACAAAAATTTTTTGTTTGCTCTAAGTTTCCCAGGATTTTTTTTTTTCATTAAGTATGTATAATGAATATTATTGGGTATATCCTAATTAATAACATAATCTTATACATAAATTTTGATTAAATTATTTCAGACGAGGTGTCAATGGTATGCTTCCTCTTCATCTAGCAAGTTTAAATGGATATGTTGAATGTTGCAGGCGACTCTTAGAAGCAGGTAGGTGTTTGAAGAGTCATATGTAAACATAGTGTCAATGCTGAAGGTGATGGGTTATATGGGTAGAAATGCCACAATGATAATGGCTTATGTCATGGTATCAATCGTGACATGTACTGATAGAAATGTCACAGTGATTTTGACTTGTGCCGTGATATTATTTGGGACAGCTATGATGGTAAAAAAATGTCACAATGATGATGCCTTGTGTCATGGTATCAATTGTGAATGTGTAGTTGTCGAAATGCCACAACGATGATGGCTTGTGTGTTATGTTATCAGTTGTGACTTGTATAGTTATAGAAATGTTACAATGACTATGACTTGTTTCCAAAGATCTTATAAACACAAGATGGCATTCTCCGCGATTTTACGCGTAACAAATAGAAGCGTCGATTTGGCACAGAAAAGTAATCATTTTTTGGGAGAGGGCATCATAGTCGCTGCCATGGATCTGAGATAGGGTGTTCGTGTTACGCCAAAGCTTGTTACCAAGTACGTTAATTGTTCCTTAATTGTTCTAAAGAGAGGGCTCATTGTAAATCGGACGCTCCTAATCGTTACGCGTAAACGTAAAGTCGTGCGGTGTAGGCTATGGTCAAAGCAGTCAAAGTTCAAAAGTTTTCACTTTTGCAAGAGGGCGCCGTACACGGAAATCGCGGAAAACGTTATCTTGTGTTTATAAGATCTTTGCTTGTGCCATGATATCAATTGGGACAGCTATAGTGATAAAAATGTCACAATGACGATGGCTTGTGGCATGGTATCAATTGTGACAGGTGTAGTGGTAGAAATGCCACAATGATTATGGCTTGTGTGTTATGTTATCAGTTGTGACCTGTGTACTGTAGTGATAGAAATGACACAATCATGATGACTTGTGCCGTGATATGAATTGGTACAGCTATAGTGATAAAAACGTCACAATGACAAAGACTTTTGTCATTATGGTATCGATTGTCACAAGTGTAGCGGTAGAAATGTCACAATGTTGATGGATGGTGTCATGAAGTAGCATCACATTCAGATTTTCTGTTGTATAGGTGGGGTTTTCTGTCAGGTAAAAAAAAGATAAAATAAATAAAATTATTATAATTTGAATAACTAGGAAATGTGGACTTTGATCCTGGGGACAAACTGCGGCCATAGTCCAGTGCCACCCACAAGAGTGAATTGGGATAAAATGTACTGCACTCTTTAATTTGAAGACACGACCGACGTCTTTTCCATACATGAAGAATATTTAGTTATTTATTTTTTAGCAATGTTACATTGATTGATATTGTTGATCATTTTATATTATGAACTTTTCTTTTTAAATAAAATTTTAATATCACTTTTTTTTTTAACTTTGCACTGCTTAATATACTAGTATAATTCTTTTGCATTAACAATATTTTTTATTGTTTTATGGAATTCTACATTAATATGGTAATTCCTAATATAATTACATTTTTACAAGCTAATCATGCATTTGTATTATTTGTTCAACTGCAGCAATAGCATGTTATGTTTTATTATGCAATTATGTATATTTATAAAATGTTATAATATGTATTTATTGTAAGATTTTGCGTGAGTCCATATTGTGTTACAGATTTGGTACACATAAACCAAAGGATGCATACCATTAATATTAACTATTGTAAATCAGTTTGTTCTGCTTGAGTAACTAAGAATTAAACTCATGGCAGTGGTAACCCCGCCCCTAGTGGAGAATTTGGCGGTGCATCAAGAATTTCTTTATAGTCAACCCCCTTAGGAAGATAACCCCTGTAGAGTTAACCCCGCTTAAGTTACCCCCTCCCCCTGCATTATCTGCAAACTAATCACACAGTTGTATTTTTTACAATAATTACAGGTTGTAATGTTAATGAAACAGATGACAATGGAAGAACGTGTGCCCATGCAGCCGCCTGCGGTGGGTAAGTGATAACATTCTTAAGGTGATTGAGGCCGGAGCATTGGTTGTTCAGTGGTTGTTCTTGCCACCAAGTCTAAGGGCCCTAGGTGCTGTCCACATAAAAATGTCAACATTTTTTCTTGCATCAACAACAAATCTTTCACAATATAGATGTTACCACAGATAGTACTTCTTTAACTTTTATTGACTTTTGTTGTCACATGACTGTAGAGTCACATGACTGTAGAGTCACATGACTAGGCCTATATAGACACCTGACTGTAGAGTCATGAATGTCTTTTCACATGACAGTATAATCTGACTCGCATTGCTTGCACATTAAATGAATTCTACTCAAACCCTCTTTCCAGGAATGTGGATTGTCTAGACCTTTTAATTCGTAGCGGAGCTGACTATAACATAATTGACAAAGAAGGCAGGACCGCACTACACTATGCGGCAGGCAATGCCAACCACCAGTGTGTTCTGTCGCTTGTTGCAATGGGGGTTTTTCTTTCATATATAATTTTAAATGTATGTTATTTGTTGATTTTGTTTGATATACATGCTGTCTCTTATACACATCTAGATGTGTATAAGAGACAGGTATTTCTACCTTCCAACATAGTTATATATAAATTAAATACCATTGTGCACTGTTTTTTAGTCTGTCAGTTTGTTAGTGCACTGATGTGTTAATATTGCATGTAAGCAATCCAAGAGGTATGTTAAGCTTGGTACAATCATCAAATTTTCTTTGAAAAAAAAATCAGTTGTATGCCCACATATAGTCTTAATGAGCCTAGGCCTATATATGGTCATGATGTGATGTCATCATGACCATATTTAGGCATGTCACATGTTTATGTCAAATGAAATTTGATAGTCTGGACTGGGCTTTAAAAACACTACATCACTTTCCAATAATACATAATTTTAAGCAAATTAGATCAGTTGCTTCATTTTCACCCTTTTATATTAGTTGCGTTGACCATCTTCTCCATAATGGTGCTGACGCCAGTTTACGAGATATCAACGGGTATAACGCTGTCCATTATGCAGCTGCTCATGGACACAGTCATGTAATAGATAAGGTACGTAGCTGAGGGGTCTGACATGTAACTAGGTCATAACATAGGAATTAAAAGTCTTAATGTCAACCTTCAGTGCTAACATTTTTTTGTTATGTAGTATTGCATGAATTGTTAATGGTTTGAAATGTTATGGGATGATAGTTAAACATCGTAAGATAATTAACTTGATATGAAGAATTATCTCTAAGTATTGATGCTTGTGTATTTTTTTAAATTTTAAATGGTATGTTTAAATTCTTTCATTTAGCTTTTAAACGATGGTAGAGCTGACCTACTTAATAGCACTGGGATTGCTCCTCTCACCACACCTCTGCATCTTTCTGTAAGTTAGACTAACAATCCGCTGGACTTCACAGAATTGGGTTCTATAGTGTAATAGTCAGAGCTCTGCTTATTGCACCATCTGTTGCAAATTATAGTCAATATAGATTAGAGCTTGAATTTTTTTGAAAATGGGTAACACTTCTAGATATGGTACCAACAGCAGTTAAATTGCAAAATACATGTTGTATTACTATTATGTATTAAATGTTGGAGTGACTATCACATTTTTGTTTTATGGAATAACAAAACTCGTTTTGTCTTAATAGTACTTTAGGGTGTCAAATTTATATACAGTACAGTATCATCTGTAACGTCAAATGTTCATCATTTCTGTTAAATTCTAATAAAAAAAAATTTTTTGTTCATGCCTAATTTATGAAGATTGTTAATTTTGTTAGTTAAGCTTAGTAATTATTTAATATTTAAGATTAGTGCGGAGGCTTATTATTCACCTTGGCCTCCTTGGTTCCCGGCACTTGTTGTAGTTAAGAAATAAGTGAAATAGATGAATAAAAATAAAATATATAAATAAAGTAACTTGTGATGACCATGTGATGTCATCTGATGTCATCTTGTGATGTCATATCATATACATAATAGTTAAGCCACAAGGTTACCTAACAATGATCACTTCCTTCTTCTCCTAGGCTTACAATGGACATGCTGATGCCTTGAGTGTATTAATGAGGTCTATTATTAGTCTAGATATTCAAGATGCAAATGGTCGAACCCCGCTGGATTTAGCTTCTTTCAAAGGTCACTCAGAATGTATTGAAACATTAGCTATACAAGGGGCAACGATATTAGTCAATGATTCCGTTTCCAAACGAACTCCACTACATGCAGCTGGTAAGACAAGAAATATATTTACTAAAAACATATCACATGAATCATTATGAACTTGATTAAGTATTTAGGCACATTGCCAGTAGTCAAAGTAATAAAATATTCTGAAATCTTGTTAACAGTTGGGCTATAATTCAAATCCTTCAAACACCAGAAATTCTCCACTATGTTCTCAGAGCCTCATATTTTTAATCCTGTATTATGAGTGGAGTGTCAAATGAGAAGGAAAATGTATATTATTTGAAAGTCATTAGTGAAACTTAATGCTTTTTTGACCTGACCTTACAGCTTACAACGGTCATGCGGAGTGTCTGAAAATCCTCATAGAGAACGCAGAATCTCACCAGGCTGTCGATTGTGTTGATGAACAGAACCGCACACCATTGATGGTTGCGGTAGCAAATGGTCACATAGATGCGGTGCTGCTGTTACTATCCCATAAGGCCAGCCTATCTATTGCAGACATCAACCACCGAACTGCTCTGCATAGAGGGGTAAGTGCATCCCTCTAATCCCAAATTCCTTGGTTCAAATCCAGCATGGATCTGTTATTTTTCTTAATGACTAAAACCAACCATTCGTCCTTAGCCTGAAAATAAGACAGATTTTCTAAATATGTCCAAATTATTTGATTTTCTAGGCTGCTAACGGACATGAAGAATGCGTAGATGCACTCCTCCAGCATGGTGTAAACACTTCCACTCGGGATATCAAAGGACGTACAGCGCTTCATATGGCAGCAGCGTGCGGCCATGTTGGTATCCTAGGAGCTCTTCTTCAAGCTGGTAGTGCAAACATGCTGGATAACAGAGGCTATACACCACTTCACTGGGCAGCCTATAATGGTGAGATGTTTATATTGTCACTTTAGGAGGATTTTGGTAGCTCTATGTTCAAATTTGTTTTAAAAGCCGTTTTTTTTGTTTCAGTAGTTGTTTTCATATCCAGATATAGTGGCTGCATTGATCTATTTTCAATTTTATTATTTTTTTCTATTTTATGAGTCTAGTCATATCCAAAAAGATAGCATTTATACAATGATAATACGAAATATCAATATAGTATCTTTAATTATTGTATTTTTTCCCTTCCAGGTCATGAAAGTTGTGTAGAACTTTTACTTGAACAGGGTCAACACAAGTTCTTTGAAGGGAATGCATTTACTGCCTTGCATTGTGCTGTGTAAGTCCAAATTATTTGTCTCTACATGAAAACATCTATGTTGAGTATTCATGACAGCGTCACTGAATGTGAAAATGTATGATCTCCTC